CTCCTCCTCCTCCTCCTCCTCCTCCTCCTCCTCCTCCTCCTCCTCCTCCTCCTCCCAGGTGGCTTCGCAGCGCGCGGCGGCCCGCAGCCGTCTTGCCCTGCGGCGCGGGCGCGCCCGCGGCGATAGCCCCCAGCCCCACGGAGGGGCGCCCTCGCGAGCGCGAGCGCTCGCCCGCCTGGCACCGCAGGGCGCGGCGCCAGCGCTCTGCCGCCCGCGCTCGGCTTCGGCGGCATCGCGATCGCCTGCTGCTGCAGGCGCACCACGGCAGCCAGCCGCCCATGCATGGGCCCCGCGGCGGAGGCCCCCCTGCGAGCCCAGCGCGCGGCCAGCGGCCGCAGGGCGCGGCGCGCGGCGGCGACGGCCCTGCCGTCTCGGGCGGCGGCACCCCTTGCGGCAAGTGCGGCTGCCGCAAGAATGAGGCGTGGTGGCGCTACTGCAAGCACTGCAAGGGCGAACTTGTGCCGACGCAGGCCCCTCCTCGGCGCCCTCGCTCTGCTGAGCGGCGTGTGGTGCAGCGTGCGCCTTGGCACGACGAGGACGGCCTGCGACCTGGGCCAGGTGGCCGAGCCGATGCGCCAGGGGGACGGCGTGACGGCTCCAGGGTCCGCTTCGCCTTGTCCAGCGTGGAAGAGCTGCCCAGCGGCCCCGACGCCGACCCCGAGGAGGCCAAGCTGGTGCAGCTCATCAGCTTGCTCCGCCTGGAGCAGGACGAGGGCGGAGTGCGCAAGTACCAGGAGCAGCTCGACAACCTGCGCAGTGCCCGTCGGGCGCGGCCCTTGTCCGTGGACGAGGCCATGGCTGCCAGGGGCGCGGCAGCTGAGGCCTTGGACAAGGCTGTCGAGCATGCTGACTCGCTCCAGGCCCAGTTGGACAGCGCCAAGTCGGTGGTGGTGGCCCGCTCCGCCAAGTACGACGAGGCTCTGGCAGCTTACACTACGGCTGTGCAGGCCTTGGCGCAGCAGGTCGCTGGCGCGACGCCGCAGACGGCTGGCCCGCCGCTCTCAGGCAAGCTGTCCATCGCCAAGCTGCTCAAGGGTGACAACGTGGAGCTGGACGACGAAGGTCTCTTCGGCTTGGAGGCCCTGGAAGACTACGAGATTCAGGAGTCAGACCGTGAGGAGGCTGCCAGACGCAAGGCTGATCTCCAGAACAAGTTCAAGGCCATGGCGCAGGAGGCGTTCGGCAAGTTCGCGAAGGAGGCCCGCGAGCTCGAGCGTCAGCACTCGGAGCTCAAGGACCGCCTCCAGAAGAAGCGCAAGACCTCAGGCGAGGCGGCCGAGGCGGTGGCGCAGCCAGCGGCACCAGCTGCGGCAGCGGGGGCCAAGACGGCAGGCGAGGCAGGAGCCCCCACGGCGCCTGCTGGCCCAGCGGCCGAGCCTGGCGGCCTCGTCGCCGATGGCGACAAGGATGTGGTGGCGGCGGCGCGCGCGCGGTTGGCTGCTGCAGCCAAGGGCGCTGGCCGCGGTGCTGGCAGCAGCGGCGGGGCCGCCACTGCTCCACGGCCGACCCTTTGACGTCCCTGACGGGGTCGGTCCTCACCATCGGCATCTACACGGTCACGAAGATCTCGCCGTTCTCGGGCTTGTGGGCGATCCACCTCTTCGGAGGTGCCACGTCTGGGACGGCCACTACTACATGGGGCGCTGCGACGACGCGCAGTGGTTTTCTTCCTCTTCACTTTCTGCTTCCACTCCCGCGTGGGCGCCTGGTCCAGTCTATGACGACTACTTCTACCTAGGCGGCGAGAGTGACGGCACCTCCTTCACCAACACTGGGGCCACCTATCTTGACGGTCCGACGTATGATGACATGCAGGCCGTGGCTGGCCCTGATTACTGCGTTTGGAAAGATATGGACCCTGATAGGCAACGCGCACTTGAGCTCCAGCGTGATCTCGAACGTGCCCTTCGCAGCTTCACGGGGCACTGGCTGGAGGACCCGCACGTCCTGGACGACGATAGGGACGGGATGCACTGGAGGCGGCACTGCGTGCCCTACGTTGCCAACTACCTGTCGCACCCGTTTCTGCGGCCGCTGGTCATGGAGAAGGCCCAGCAGGATGGGCATGACAACCCTCACGTTGCTGCAGTTGATATGGCTATCGACATCTGCAGGCGCGCATTCCGTGCTCGGCGGCGAGCGCGTTTCCACTACCATGACTGGCTGCGGAGCCTCGAGGCCCTCGACCCCGAGGAGTACGACAACCAGCTTGCCCTCCACGCCGAGGCGATGATCAGGGAGCAGGAGATCTTCGATACTCGCGTGGATCCTCGCCGCCCCGATGGAGAGGAGGCCAGTTCTGCCTCGTCCTACACGGGCTGCTCTGACACGGTGACCGTCAGCGACTACGAGGGCAGCGATCCTGACGACTCAGGTGGTACTACGACTGCGAGCTCCACGGGCAGCTGTCCTGCATCTCATACACGCTGCAGCGCCACGGCTTTTCGGCGCGCGTACAGCCTTGGACGACGTCGTCGACGGGGCCTTCGAGCTGGAGCAGCCCGACCCCAAGCCGGGCACGATTTACTGCAGATTGGGAATGGAGCTAACATCAGGTGCAGGCTCCCAGACATAGCGTGCTCCGACTGCTGCCCCCTTGTCTTGGGAGCTCCCTCGTCGAGCGTGACCGCGGAGGAGGCGAGGCCAGGAGGCAGGCCAGGGGGTGCTTACGCGGCCAGTAGCTTCGCGAGCTACACCTGCCCTCCGAGCCCGTCCCCCGACGGTGGCACGCAGTTGTCGGGTGCTGCTCGCAAAAACTGGCCCAGCCACAACGAGTCCAGGCCGATGCAGAGACATCGTGGCAAGGCCTGCAAGATCATGACGGTCAATGTCACGGGCTGGGGCTCCCTCCTTACGCAACTGGAGGAGAAGCGCATCCCCGATGACGTGCAGGCTGTGCTCATCCAGGAGCACCACCTGGAGGAGGCCAGGATCGAGTCGGCGCTGAAGGCCGCCAGGGCCCATGGGTGGAAGGCTGACCTCTACCCTGCTCGGCGCACGGGCAACGGCGACGGCACCGCTGGCGGTATCGGCCTCCTGGTCAGGCCGCACGTCGCCTTCAGACGCCTGCAGTTCGACCATGACGGCATCCATGCGCCTGGCACGGCTCGTCAGGGTTTCTGGACCACCGACCTGGGGCCCAAGGAGGGGCTGGTGCTGGCGGGCCTCTACCTGCACACCAGCAAGGACCTGGAGGATGTGAACCTCGACCTCCTCTTCCAGATCGGCAGCGTACTGCGCGCCGCAGGCAGGCCATACGTCCTGGGCGGCGACTGGCAGAACCTGCCCGAGTCCCTCAACTGCCTCCGTTGGCCCAAGGCAGTGAAGGGCGAGGTGGTCGCGCCCGACCAGGCCACGTGCTACACGGCCACGAGCGCCAGGGTCATTGACTACTTCCTCGTGCGGCACGACCTGCATGGGTGCCGTGCTCGCACCTTCGACGGCCTCTCGGTCACGCCGCACAAGGGCGTCATCCTCGAGCTGGACGTGTCGCAGATCCCGCTCATGGTGCGCAAGGCCCACATGGCCAAGGCCTTCCCTTCGAGCCAACTGGTGGGCCCCCAGCTTCCAGGACCTGACTGGCAGGCGGCAAGCGAGGCGGCTGCTGCAGCCCATGACCGCGACAGCCTGGACGGGGCCTTCAGCGCGTGGTTGCGGCGCTACGAGGACGAGCTGCTCCAGCACTTCGGCTGCGAGCAGCCTGAGCGGTACCGTGGCAGGTCCGACGGCGTTCGTCTGGTGCACTCGACCCTGCAGATGCACTGCCGCAGCCAAGCGAAAGGACGTGGAGCAGCTGACCCCAGCGAGGGCCACTGGCAACGGCTTGCCCAGAGGCTTCGTGAGTGGCGCTGGCGACGTGCCGCGGTGTGCCACCACCCTAGCGCTGAAGGACAGCTACGCCTTCGTCGGCTGCAGCTGCGGCTTATGCGGTTCACCTTGCCGCAGCCCACGCGCTGGCCCGACATGTGGGAGGCATGGCGGTCCCTCGTCCGACGACTCGATCAGTTGGGCGAGGACGACCTCGACCACCTGATGCACGACCTGGAGAAGTGCGCCGAGCGCGCTGCTGGCCAGGCCTCCTACCGCAGGTACAAGGCATGGGTGGACTGGTCCCATGATGCCACCGCTGACGGCGGCATGCGGCGCGCCTTCAAGTGGATCAAGCAGGATGCCCCCTGGGCGTGCACCAATGCAGCGGCTGGACCTGGCACTGCCAAGTCTCTCGTGGACGAGGCACGTGACGCTGTTCAACCGTGGCACGACTTATGGGGCCAAGGCGAAGGCATCACAGCCGTTCGCTGGCCCACGGACGTCGGGGACATCGAGCTCCCGTCGATCGAGGACCTGCGGAAGACAGCACACACCTTCAAGTCGGACACAGGGCTGGGCTGTGACGTGGTCCACCCTCGACATCTGATTTTTCTAAGCGATGATGCGCTACAGACCTTGTTGGAACTCTGGTCTCTGATGTTGCGTCTTGGCTACGTCCCGGCCCCGATTCGTGTCATGCGCGAGGCTCTCCTTCCGAAGCCCGATGGTGGGAGACGCACAATTGGCATCTTCCCTGGCACGGTGCGGCCACTGACGCGATACTTGCGGGCCACCACGGGCGCGAAGTGGGCCGACAAGAACAAGCGCAGCTACATCTTCGGCACCGAAGGTCAGAGTTGTGAGGCCTGTGTATGGAGGCAGGCGGCTGCAGGCGAGTGGGCCACACACAGTGGTAAGACCTGCCTCTCCATCTTGCTGGACCTCTCCAAGGCTTATGAGTACATCCGCTGGAACCGTCTGGCGACCTGTGCTACCGACCTGGGCTTCAACATGTGCTTGCTACGGCTGCTGCTCATGCTGTACTCCATGCCCAGGCTGCTATCCTTCGAAGGCATCGTCTTCGAGCTGATGACGCCGATGCGTGGCGTGGTAGCAGGATGCTCATTCGCTGACCTGATGATGCGCATTTTTCTTATTCCCATTTTGGATGACCTGGTGAGCCTGCCTGGCATCTCAGTCGGCAACGTGGTCGACGACATCCAGATGCAGTCTACAGGCACTCGGCCCACCGTCGTGCAGCAGCTCAGCAAGGCTTACCGCCAGGCGAGGAGTGCACTCCACGACGCCGAGCTGCTGCTGAACGAGAAGAAGGGCAAGCTCATCGGCAATGACTACCAGGCCAGCGTGGACCTCGGCAAGCGCTGCCCGTCGCTCGTGCAGGCCAGAGACCAGTCGACTCGCAACCTGGGCTGCGACTACAGCTGCGGCAAGCGGCAGGGCATGCGCACGCGGTTGGGGCGCCTGGGCAAGGTCAAAAGGCGCTGTGAAAAAATCCGAGCACTTCGCAGGGCCAGGGGAAAGTGCAAACAGCTGGTCAGCATGGGGCTGGTCCCTGCTGGGACCTGGGGTGACGGGGTCACTGGAAGGTCTTGGAGCGGAGTGATGGCCCTCAGGAGGGCAGCGAGGGCGGCCCTGTTCCCTCACACGGCCCGCAGATCCCTCACCATAGACCTGGCTCTGGTTCCTGGAGACACCGCGTCCATCGACCCCGCGTACCCTTGCACAGTGAACCCCGTTGTCATGCTCGCCCAAGCCTTCTGGGACGACTGGATGCCTCGGGAGATCTTGTGCCGTATGCTCTTCAACGCGGACAAGGCCCTCAGAGGGGCCAAGACACCCTGGAGCCAGGTCACGGGTCCTGTTTCGGCTGCGCTGGCTTCTTGTTTCAGGATCGGTTGGACTCTTGGAACGGGTGTGGGCAAGTTGTGTACTGCCGACGGTGAAGTGCTTGATCTTTGTCGTGAGTGCCCCCGCACAGCGAGGATGGTTGCGCAGTGGGGTGTCGAGGCTTGGCTCCTTGACAAGGCCCGCTGCGAAGAAAGCTACCTTAGTACCCTCTCCCACGGACCCTTCCTCGCCCCTCTGAAGGCCCTGGTGTCTAGCCGTACTGATGACGACTGGACTGGCATGCACAAGGCTACGCTCCGATGTCTTGCGGCCAACGGGTTCTGGGGGGATGAGCGGCTGCACAGTGTCGGCCTGAGGGATAGCCCAATGTGCTCGCTCTGCGGTGAGGCTCCTGGGACCGTGGGGCACTGGTGTTGGGGGGACTGTGCGTGCACTTGGGCTTTCCGTCGCGACTACCTAGTGCCACCTTCATTGCGAGAGGGTGCCTTAAATCACCCTGACTGGCCCCTCTGGAGCCACGGCCTGGTGGCCGACCCTCGGCCCTGGCTTCCTCGTCCCACGATGGACCTGCTCGTTCACTGGCGCGTGCGACCCCCGTCGGGGGCCTTTGAAGGCCCATGTTTTGGAGACGGCTCGTGCCGTTCGCTTGTGGCCTCTGACCCAAGACTGCGCCGTGCTGGCTGGGGAGTTGTCCAGGTGAATTCGAGCGGTTTGGATGTCTTGGCCTCGCTGTGCGGCCCCCTCCCAGGTTTAAACCAGAGCTCTGAGGTTGCCGAACTCTTTGCTTTCAAGAGGTATCTTGATAATGTAATGTTTGGCCCTTATGAGTACCTCTCTGACTGTGATTGGGTGGTCTCCAGCTTCCGTAAGGGACGTTGTGAGACCACTGGTGCGCTGCACGCCTGTGCCGACTTATGGGAGGGGGTTTGGGACCGTGTGTCGGACTTGGGGGGGGAGGTCGTTGTGATCAAGGTCAAGGGTCACGCGCGTGTGCGTGATGACGACCTTGACGAGGGTGCTCGATGGAGGCGCCTAGGCAATAAGGCTGCTGATGAGACGGCGCGCGCAGGAGCCGCCATGCACCCCTCCGATCAGGAGGCCGAGGATCGAGTGATCCGTTCCCATCGGCTGGTCCAGTATGTGGGTAAGTACTTGGCCAGGACCATCCGTGGGGCAGGGCCAAGTCTGGCCTCCGCCTCCCGTCGCGAGGTGGGGCTTCGGAGGGGGCGCCGAATCGTCCCTCGGCTCTCGGATGATGCTGCGCCTCCCGAGGGCACCCATGACCCTGTCTGGTTTCCCAAGGGCGGCTTCAGGTGCATCAGGTGCCTGAGATCGGGGAGCACGATCCAGATTTTGAAAGCCACCCCCTGCAGACCTGGAGCTGGCCACCGCGTTTGGACGGTGGGCCCTTTTGTGTTTTGCAGTGTCTGCGGTGCTTATAGTGAGCACAACACCCAGAAGCTCGGTCAAGATTGCCACGGAAGCTGCCCGCGTGGGTCTGTTGCGTGGGACCGCCTGCGTAAGCTGTGGCGTGGCTGCCGCCCCCGCAGCGGGATCGAGCTTCGGGCCTCGGGAGTCGGACCCCGCCCCACCCCCTTTGGCGCATTCGCCCTCGACCACAAATTTAAGGGCCTGGAGGTCCTTCCTGGGTCCGTGGAGGAGGATGATGCTTGAGGCTGGTTGGTCCTGGGTCCGCTCCCGTTTTTGAAATTTTTGTGTTTTTCCTGACGGAGGCACTCGCCCCCCTTCTTGCTCCTCCTCACCCTGCCTGGGAGGTGCCCGTCAGCCCACTGTTCGCGCCCTAAGCGCGAGGCCGCTGGCTGCTAGTCTCGACTGCACCCCTTGGCCCCACCAGCACAAAACCTTCTCTCCCCCTCCTCCTCCTCCTCCTCCTTCTCCTCCTTTTCCTTCTCCTTCTCCTCCTCCTTCTCCTCCTCCTCCTCCTTCTCCTCCTCCTCCTCCTCCTCCTCCTTCCCCTCCTCCTCCTCCTCTCCCCCCTCCCCCCTCCCCCTCCCCTCCCCCTCCCCCTCCCCCCCATCCTCTCCTCCTCTTCCTCTCCTCCTCCTTCTTCTCCTCCTCCTTTTCTTCCTCCTCATTCTCTTCCTCCTCTCTTTCTCTTCCTCCTCCTTCTCCTCCTTCTCTTCCTCTCCTCCTCGCCCTCCCTCCTCCTCCTCTCTTCCTCCTCTCTCCTCCTCCTGCTCCTCCTCTCCTCCTCCTCCTCCTCCTCCTCCTCCTCCCCCTCCTCCTCCTCCTCCTCCTCCTCCTCCTCCTCCTCCTCCTCTTCCTCTCCTCTCCTCCTCCTTCCGCCTCTCCTTCTCCTCCTCCTCCTCTTTCTTCTCCTCTCCTCCTCCCCCTCCTCCTCCTCCTCCTCCTCCTCCTCCTCCTCCTCCTCCTCCTCCTCCTCCTCCTCCTCCTCCTCCTCCTCCCCCTTGTGCGTCCGCGCCCCCAAGTCGCGAGCTCGAGGTGTCAGGACCGAACTCGGACCTTGCCCGCCCCCGCGGAGGCTGCAAGGGGGAGGTTGGAGGCTCCTCGCCGCCGCGTGGCTGGAGTCCGCCTGGCATGTTGCCCAGGATGCGCCCAGGAAGCGGTCTGGTGGTTGATCTTTGACCCCCAGACCCAGGAGAGGTCTTCTGATTTTTGATTGGTTTTTGATTCTTGATTTTTGACATCCTCGCGCCCGGAACAAGTCGGGACGGAAGGCTTTTCGGCAGGTTCGGGCCTCAAGGGGCCCTCGCCGGGCCCAGGGCCGGTCAGAGCATGGTTAGGGACGAGCAGCGGGTCCCTTGGAAGGGGTCCGGGCCCCTGGGGAGCTAAGTTGTTAAACGAGTCACGACGCAGGATTTTCTGGGGCGGCGGGAGAGGGGTTGGCGGGGGGCGGAGGGGAGGAGGGGGAGGATACCTCCCCGTCCGCCCTCCGACCCGCCCTCTCCCTCTCCTTGGCTCCTTTCTTCGCCCCCCCTCCCCCTCCTTCGCCCCCTCGTTCGCCTCCCCCCTTCGCCCCCCCCCTTCACCCCCTTCCTTCGCCCCGCCCTCTCCCTCCCTCGCTCCCTCCTCATACCTCTCCCAACTGAGAGGGAGGCGAAGGATGGAGAGAGGCGTGGGGGCGGGAGGGACGGGTGAGCGGAGAGGGAGACTCGCTCTGTCTATCCCCCAACCGTTTCTTTTTTTTCAGCATTTACACACATACCAGCGTCTTTACACACACGTGTATGCTGTAGTGTGTGTATACATACATACATACATACATACATACATACATACATACACACATGCATGCATGCATACATGCATACATACATACATACATACATACACACACATACATACATACATACATACATACATACATACATACATACATACATACACACATACACACATACATGCATGCATGCATGCATACATACATACAAACATGCATATATACATACATGCATACATACATACATACATACATTTATACATACATACATACATACAGACACACATACATATATTCATAAACACACATACATACATTCATACACACATACATACATACATCCATACATACATACATACATACGTACGTACGCACGTACGTACAGACATACATACATCCATACATACATACATACACTCATACACACATCCATACATACACACATGCATACACACATACGAACATACATACATACATCCATACCTATTTACAAACATACATACACACATACATCCACACACACACATACAGGCATGCATACATACATACCTACATGCATCTACATACCTACCTACCTACCTACCTACCTACCTATCTACCTACGTACGCACGTACATACATACATACATACATACATACATACATACATACATACATACATACACATGTAAGTATATATACACAATGCATAATTCGCTTCTCTCGTTGCCTCTTTAGGTTATGTGTGTAATATTTCAATGTGCAAGTTTATGCCTTGTTCTTAGTCTCAAGCCTCAGGGTGCACGATCAGGTACAGGTAGCAGCGTCTTGTTTTTGTGTGTTCGCATCATGCACGGATGCGAGAGGGTAGTGCCATGATTCGCGATCACCACCGCTTGCAACTTGAAGCTTCTCTCTGGACCCCCAGCTCGGCCTTCAGCCCTGAATTTCGATTCCTTCGATCTATACCCTGCAGGCACTTGGCCCAAGAGGGTGCCCCTTCACGCGCCGGCAGCAGGCGCATGTGTCCGGGCCAGATCAGGGCCCAGTGTCGGGGCGCCCGCCTCATTTCATGCCTTCCTTCTCGCTGTTGGGGCAGTCTGTCACGAATGCCTCCGATCTGATCCAGGGGTCTTTCGACGGTCGTTAAGTGGACTTACCCGTAAGGTCGATCTTGCCAAATCGATGCGTCGCCACTTCGCTGCACCCCTTCCCAGCTTCATATGTCAGTTTTCGAACGTTCAGCCGCTAAGATGTCGGCACCGTCGTTATGTCGTCATTATCAATGTCATCACCAATGTCGTCGTCGCATCGTCATCGCTGTCGACGCTGTCTTCCTTAATCCCCAAACAATGCCTACACTTACGGGTTCTTTCTTCTTTTCTACGGAACTGGGTCTGTGTGGCGGTCTGTCGACTATGTTGTCGCCGTCGCCATCCCGTCGCCGCCTCGTCGCCGCCCGTCGTCTGGGCCTGCGTTGCGGTCTGGCGGTTAAGTTGTCGCCGTCGCCGCCCCGTCGCCGCCCCGTCGCCGCCACATAATTTGCGCCACATAGACAGCACACCACTGAAGGGCCTGCTGGGCCTCTCTTGGAGGCTTCAAGGGCCCTCCCGAGGCTCCCTCGGGGGCCTCTTGCGGAGTCCGGGGCGCTCTTGAGACCGACAGGCGCGAGGGCGCAGAAAGTGCCCGCCCCCCCTTCGCCGGCCTTCGCGCCGCCCTATGTGCAAGTGGCGGACGGAGTCCCGCTTTTTCGCGGGGGGGAAGGGCGGGGGGGGGGGCATGGGGGGATTCGCACCTGCGGCGGCTACAGATGCGCGAGGGTGGTGCCTGTGGGGAGGGATGTTTTTTGCATCCTGATTACCGCTGGCGAACCTTTCTCTCGTGGGAGGGGGGGGTAACGGAGAGGGGGCAATGGACGGGGGGTACCATGGCGGCGGATGGGTGGTTTTGGTTGTGCTTCCAGACTGGCATCGCGAAGCCGTGGCCACTCTCGCCATGACGGCACGGCGGCCCCGAAACTGGACCCTGCAGAGCCGATGGCGTCCTTCTTCGACAAGCTCATTGCGCGCGTGAAGGCTGCAGACTCGCTGTTGTGTGTCGGGCTAGATCCGCACAGGTCGGAGCTGCAGGAGGACTCGGCAGAGGCCATGAGCCTTTCGGGGGGGGGGGCCGCTCTATTGCGATCTTGCATGGGGTCCTAGTTTTCTCCCTCCTTGCTTTCCTCCGTTTCTGCACTTTCCCTCATTTGTTTTCCCATCTGCTCCTCTCCATACGGTGGGGGCGTTCGTTCGGGAATTTTCCCAGGAGGCTTCAGACCAGGAGGGTTCCCTATCTGTTAGAGTGGTGGTGATATCCATGGCCAAAACAGAATATTGGAGTACCACTGGCTTCCCGACCCTGGAGTCCTTATCCAATGGTTCCTTATCTAATGCCCTCACCGTATCTGTCTTTGTCTCTTTCCCTCCCTCCCTTGCTCTCTCCTTCTCTCTCTCTCTCTCTTTGACTCTCCTCTTCGTTCCCCAGCTGGTGACTGTCACGACGTGCTTTCTCTCTGCAAGCGTCAGCAAGCATAAGGTAGGTTTGCGTCGTGTCGACCAGCGTCGACCCCGCCGCCGGCGTTCAATGTTGAACGCTGCCCGCGATCCAGAACCGGTCGATGTTGAAAGATCTAACGTTTCGGATACGGCCGATCGTTCAAGGTTGAACGATTCAGCGCGGTGTCAGACACCAACGCCAGGGTCGACACGATGCGAACCTACGGTATGCTGCCCCATGCTACTCTCCTTGTTCCCCGAATTGCGCCCTTAGTGGATTCTCGGAGCCCTGGGCTTTTTCGCACAGCCTGCACGGAGCAGGCGCGCCCTCTCTGTCGTATACGCCTTTCTGGTCATGGCCGTCCCTCTTTCTCTTCATTCTGCTTACCCTCTCTTCCTCGTCCTCTCGCTCCTCCCCCTCCTCCTCCTCCTCCTCCTCCTCCTCCTCCTCCTCCTCCTCCTCCTCCCCCTCCTCCCCCTCCTCCTCCCCCTCCTCCTCCTCCTCCTCCTCCTCCTCCTCCTGCTACTTTCCCTGCTGGCCCTCGTCAGTCGCCTCCTGCCTCCTCCCCCTCCCACCGCCGCGGCGCCGCCGCCCTCTTCCTTCTCCCACTGCGCCCGCAGATCCGAGCCGCGTCCCCGGCGCTCCGCTCTCCGCTCCCTCTCCTCGGGCAGGGCGCGTCGGGGCTCGCGGGCAGACCGTGGAAGTTAAGGCCGCGTCCACGGGGGGGCATGGCCGAGCGTGCTGCTTTCCCCTCGTCGAGAGGGCACCCCACGCGCGATTGTCGGGAGTTTGCCGAGGTGTCGGAGGAGGTGTCGACGAGGGTCGACGAGGGTCGTCGCGGGGGAGGGCTGGTCAAGGGGAGTTTGCCGAGGCTAGTCGATCAGTGCGCCTCGTGGGAATACACTGGGCGGGGGCAACGGGAGGACCCAAGTGAGATGGAGAAGGCCTTCTCAGAAGGCTCGGAAGTCCCCCGGCCTTCTGAGAAGTTTTCTGAGCCTTCCCCGAAGACACAGAAAACTTCCCAGAAGGCGCCAGGGCTTCTGAGAAGTCCCGCCGCCTTCTGAGAAGGCCTCCTCCTTTTCACTTCCCCCCCTCGCTCGCCGCCGACCCACGCCCGGAGGGCGCCCTCGAGTTCTGCAGGCGGCTCATCGAGGAGACCAAGGAGGCGCCGTCCCCGAGGGGGTGGGATGCGGAGCGGACCTGGAGGAGGGTTGATCTGGCCGTGCACCGGGATGGAGCTCGTGGGGGCGGCGTGAGCTCGCCGCCGAGGAGAAGGGCCCAAGAGGGGGAGCTCGAAGGGGCTGCTGGGGCCCTGGACCCCCTCACCTGTTCGCTCGAGGCCGCTTCCGAGCCCCAGAGAGGCTCCCAGGAGGGTCCCAGATCTGGCCGTGCACCGGGATGGAGCTCGTGGGGGCGGCGCGAGCTCGGCCTCTGCATGGATCGTCGAGGCCCATTGGCAGGACCTCACAGGTCGTAGTCATATTGTTTCTGTGATGTCGCCTAGACAGCCTTCCAGGAGGAAGCGCTTCCTCTAGGCACACCTGTCATTGAAGCATCTGGCCTTTGGACCGTCACGCTCGGCTGACCAAGGACGGCCCTTTGACCCTGAGCTTCGGAGAAAGCAGACATCAAGGATAATGACATGCACCTGCAGTCCCATAGCTAGCCAGGGCCTCTTTCTGTCCAAGGCCCGACGCGTACCAGACTCTCGAGACCCCCTTGTTCTGTGGACACCCTCTTCAGCCGAGACTGTGCTGTGCCTCCTCTCTTCAGGATGCGACTCCTGGGAGGACACATGTAGCATCGTCACTGATATGTCCGTTGTCGAAAACCTGCCTACTGAATCATCCCTAATCGGGCTTAATCTTGGGCTTCGTCCGGGCTGATGTAGCTTAGCGGCTTCTCGATCGGCCTTGAGAGCCCCACGATTGCTCCCGCGAAGACCTCCCGGAAGTTGCGCCTCCCAGCCCTCCTGCACCTCGCTGCCCCCAGGCGGCCTTCGGCCCGGTCAGCTTTACCCACCCAGATGATGCCGGGATCCTGCTCCTCGGAGCTCCCGGCCCAGACCCCCGGGCCTCCGAGCCCCGGCGGAGCATCCTCGAGCCCCCCGGGGCAAGTCCGGCTGCAGCAGCGCCCAGCAGGTTCCCGCGGCTTCCAGCAGGTCTGGCAGCAGCAGCAGCAGCAGCAGCAGCAGCAGCAGCAGCAGCAGCAGCAGCAGCAGCAGCAGCAGCGTCCAGCAGCGGCGTCCAGCAGTGGCCCGAGCCCCAGCAGCATCCATCTGCGACCGAGTGCGCACAATACCCTGCGGGTCCCATATCGACGCTGGGATGTGTAGGGCACCCCCGCTGGGGTCCACTCTGCTGCAGACACGCTTCGGATTCTGAAGCGCGGCCAGCGTTTGAGGAGTCTGACCTGCAGGGGCAGGGTTCGCTTGTTGTTGCTTAGTCTCGGAGGTGCAGGAAGCCGTGATAATGACACGTTCCACGACTTCCATGATGTGCCCCGGATTCCCAAGATTTTTTAGTGTTGCGCACGGGTTTCAGAAACGAGGGCCGCTCGATACTCCAGATTTCCTGGGACGTACCCTGAGTGCCAATCGTATCGTGACACCATTCTCGCCCTATGGTCCAGCAAGCTTTCCTCTCTCGGCCACAGGTGGCCGCCGCGTACAAGCCCAACGCCGCGTTTTTCGAGGCCTACGGGAGCCCGGGCGCTGTGGCGCTGGAGCGGGTGCTGGAGCTGATCCCGAAGGAGTTCCTCCTCCTCCTCCTCCTCCTCCTCCTCCTCTTCCTTGGCGTTTTTTGTTTTGGTTTCCTTTCTCTTCCCCTTCCCCCACCATTTTTCCTCTTGCTCCTCTGTCTCCCCGACCCGCCCTCTTTCCCCCGCAGCACCGCCGGCCCTCCTCGCGTCCCGGCCCTCCCCCTCTCCTCCGGCCCGCCTCCGCTGCCTTACCTCTCCCCTCGCTTTTTTATGTCCACGTGCCGCTCCACCTGCTGCGGCTGCTGCTCTCGTCCGGCCTGCCTCCGCTGCCTTGCCCCTCACCTCGTTTTTTTTTTGTCCACGCGCCGCTTCACCGGCTGCGGCTGCTGCTGCTGCGGCTGCTGCTGCGGCTGCTGCTGCTGCTGCTGCTGCTGCTGCTCGCCACCTCCGGCCCGAGCCCAGGACATCCCGGTCGTGCTGGACGCCAAGCGAGGCGGGCCCCCTCCCCCCCCGGTGGCCTGGTCGCGCGGCCACGCGCGACGTGCGCGCGGTGCCCTGCGTGTCTCGGGCGGCTCGCCTCTGCCCTGCCCGGTGCACGCCTCCTCCCCCCGACGCCCGACCCCGCCGCCCGACCCCGCCCTCTGCCCTGCCGTCCTGCGTGCTCGCCTCCGCGCCCTCGGCGCCCCGCCTCCCCCCGGGGGCTCCTCGCCGCCACCTCTCGACGGAGGCAGCGCCAACCTCCCCACTTCCCCACCTCTCCACTTCTCCACCTCTCCACAGACCACCAGCCTCGAACTTATCCCTATCCCTGAGATTGACACGCCAAAAGGCGATGACAATCTTAGGGATGCGCCTTGAAAAACTAATGGAATCCCTGAGATCGGCATCGTGATGAGGAGATGCCCAGCATAGGGACAGGGATACGTTCCAGGCTGGTAAACAGAAGCACTTCTCCCGCTCTGCCAGCCCTGGTGCACCGCTGCCGCGCGCCGTGCCGTAAGTGGGAGAGCGGGCGGGCGGAGGGTGCCACGGGGGCTGGGCGGGGAGAGGCGGAGGGGGCCGGCGGAGAGGCCGCGGCATGGGGCGGGGAAGGGGCACGGGACTGGGCACGGGGCACGGGGGCGGGGGGGGGGGCAGCGCGTGCCTCTTCGTGTGCGGGCAGGCGGCGGTGACGGCGACAGCTGCGGGCAGGCTCCGCCCCCAGGGTCGGACCCCCCCGGGGGCCAGGCCGCGGGTCGGGCCCCCGTCCCGAGGTCTGTCCGGGGCCCCTTGGGCGCCCCCGCGGGACGGGTGTCTCCCGCGTCGTTCGCGCGCCAGTCGCGCATGGGTGTTGTGCACGTGGGACGCGGAGGCGGGTTGCGCACTCGGGTCGTGCACATCGTAGCAGGAGTGGTGCAGCAGGGCTTGCCCATCGTGCCATCAATCGTGTCAGAGTATAGTATTGTCGGATCGAGTGGAGTAGAATCGGGGTAAAGCAGTGCTGATCAGAGGCGAGTACATAGGTGTCGAGTCGAACAGAGAAGGTTATAGTCGAGTAGAATCGGTCATACATGGCCAGGGCGGAGTATCGTCGATACCAGTAGAGTGGAGTCGAGAAGAGCCGAGCAAAGTAGAGCAGGGTCGTGCAGAGTAAGAGTCGAGGGGAGTCGGGTCGAGTCGAATAGATCATGGCAGAGTCGTAGAGTCAGAAGGGGTTGAGCAGAGTAGAGTCGAGCACAGCAGAGAAGAGTCGGGCAGATTTGAGTTCAGTCCTTCCGAGTGGATAAGAGTCGGATCGAGCAGAGTCGGGCATTTACGAGCATTATAGAGTCGAATTGAGTAGTGCAGTTGGTGTCGAGAAGAGCCGAGCCGAGTAGGGTCGAGCTAGACTAGTCTCGAGTAGTGTAGTGGAGTCGGGCAGAGTCGAATAGTCGAGCAGGTTCGAGTAGCGTCGAGTTCTATGGTCGAGCATAGTATGTACAGTACATACAGAGTAGAGTAGAGACGAGTACATTGGAGTAGAGCCGAGTTCACTTAAATAGAGCAGCGCGGGGTGGAGTCGAGTAGAGTCGGGCCTGTGTAGAGTAGGTGAGGGCCGAGTAGGGTCTGGTAGGGTTGGGTGAAGTCGAGCTGAGTCGAACTTATCAGCTCCCGGTTAAACCCAAGCCGAATACACGCACCAACGCCACCAGCTTGACTACCGCAGCATACCATGCACCACATTCATGTGGAGTTAACACGCCGGTAGATATCCGTACGGGCTTCGTCCTCTGTCGCTGTCTCCCCCTCTCCGTCACAATGGGGCATATCAGACATGTGCTGGAATGTCTCGGCGACGTGTTGAAGCCGCCTGGGAACATCGTGCGAGGGCGACTGGTATTCAGCAAACGCCTTGAGATGTTGGAGCTGTTGTTGGACGCTTTGTTTCCCTCTTGGAGTGTTTTTCACGTTGTGTGTTCAGAATCCCTGCGGGGTCGCGGCCTGGGCGGCCTGGCGGAGCCGCGCGCCGCGAGCCCCAGATGATGGGAGGGGGCGCGAGGGGAAGTTACCGAAGGATATGTGGAGGGTGTGAAGGAAGGAGAATGGGAGGATGGAGTGGAATGGAATGGGTGTGACGACGACGACGACGACGACGACGCGCTGGACCCGTGAGGCGACATCGGGACGACCAGCGAGGCCTACGCGCAGGGCGCCTTCTCCACCCTCGGCTGCGACTGCGTGACGGTCAGCCCGTACCTCGGGGGCGACGGGGTGCCCCACCCGGGGGGGGGCGAGCACGCCGAGGGCGGAGGAGGGGGAGGAGGAGGGGGAGGAGGATTAGGTTAGGCTCGCCACTAGACCCGCCACCCCGAGCAGGCACAGAAGCCCCCACTCGACATGGCGAGCCCGTGGTTTCAGTTTCAGCATGCTCCACCGCCGCTCGCAGGCCCTCTGGCCTGCGAGGGCCCACTCCCTGGTGCCAGCGCTGGCACACAGGGGTTCACGACGGCGGGCCCGCGAGCGGCGGCGGCGGCGTCAGCAGGCGCACAGGGCCGCGCCCGCGACACGCCGCTGGCGGCGAGCTCCACGACGTCCTCCTCGTAGAGCTCCTGCTCGAAGTACACTTTGCGGCCTAACCCCTCGCCGCGCAGGGGAAAACTGTGGCCTAACCCCTCGCCACGCAGGGGAAAACTGCGGTCTAACCCCTCACCGCGCTGGGGTTGGTGGCCTAACCCCTCGCCACGCAGGGGGTGTGTGCGGTCTAACCCCTCACCGTGCTGGGGATCGCCTGACCCCGCAGTCTGGCCCTGCGAGGGTCGGCTGCGGTCTAACCCCTCACCGTGCTGGGGTGGGACGTACTGCTTTCCGTACTGCTCCATCTCATTGACGCGGTCTAACCCCTCACCGCGCTGGGGTGCTCTCCTCCACTCGGAGGGGTCGTCGGGCTGCCCCTGGATCGTGGTGATCGGGTCGTGGTGCCCTGGGGGCCGTACCCCCACTATCTCCTGTCCATCGTGACGCCGCCCTTCGACCCTTTGTTCTCCTTCGCCTCGAGGGAGCCCTTGATAGTCGATACGGCCTAACCCCTCGCCGTGCTGGGGTGCAGCGTCGTCGTCCTCATCGTATAGCTCGAGCTCGATGTAGTCGCCAGCCGCGGCCCTGGCTAACCTGCTCGAGCACGCTAGTGTATGTTCCCATCGGCCTAACCCCTCGCCGCGCTGGGGACCATCGTGGCCTAACCCCTCGCCGCGCAGGGGAACATTGTGGTCTAACCCCTCACCACGCGGGGGTAAAACGCGGTCTAACCCCTCACCGCGCTGGGGTTGGTGGCCTAACCCCTCGCCACGCAGGGGGTGCCTACGGTCTAACCCCTCACCGTGCTGGGGATCGCCTGCCCTCGCAGTCTCGCCCTGCGAGGGTCGGCTGCGGTCTAACCCCTCACCGCTCTGGGGGTTGATGTACTGCTTTCCGTATGTCTCCCTGTCGTAAACACGGTCTAACCCCTCACCGCGCTGGGGTACTTTGCTCTACTTGTAGCGGTCGTCGGGCTGTCCCTGGCTCATGGGGATCGGGTCGAGGTGCTCCTGGGGCCGTACCCCCGCTATCTCCTGTCCATCATGACGCCGCTCTTCGACCCTTTGTTCTCCTTCGCCTCGAAAGGTACCTTCATCGTCGATACGGCCTAACCCCTCGCCGTGCTGGGGTACCGTGTCGTCGTCCTCCTCGTAGAGCTCGAGCTCGATGTAGTCGCCTGCCGCGGCCCTGGCTAACCTGTTCGAGCACGCCAGTGTATGTTCCCATCGGCCTAACCCCTCGCCGTGCTGGGGAGTATCGTGGCCTAACCCCTCGCCACGCCGGGGTCCCCCGCCCGCTGGGCTTGATGCTGCCTCCGATGCGCTTGTCGCCGTGGAAGGTCCGCACGTCCTTCTTGTAGGTGACGTGGCACCCATACTCCCAGCAGTCGCCCGCTCAAGCCTGCAGCACCAGCTGCCGCGACTGAGGCTAGCTTCCACGGGGTCTCCTGCTTGATGATCGTCATCTGCCTCAGGCCATCGTGGGGATGGCGGCCTTTGCCCGTCTGGCGCCCGATCTCCTAACGCCCTGCGGAACATGTCTCGTAGCCGTGCCAGTTCACGCCGATGCCGATGGGCCAATCTACGATACTCTTCGGGTTCTGTCTCTGGCGCGTGGAGACGTTCGTAGAACTCGTCCCTTCTCGTCGTTGTTTGTCTCCACGCACTCCCGCACTGCTGCTCGATGATCTGCTGCATCGTCTGCCCTGGGAACCAGCGCCTCAATGTGCGGCACAGGGGGTGATTGTTGTCGTCGGTGAGCATCTGCGTGAGCATCGCTACGCACCACTCCTGCCAGCTGTCGCTGTCTCTGGCCAAGCACGTAAGATCGTCGTACCACAATGTTGCCCATTCTCTAAGATCAGCACGCATGTCGGCATAATCTTGTGGCCCCGTATCCTCAACGATCGGCGGTGGCCCCATCGCGCCTGGATTCTGATCCAATACTCCATCGCTGTCGTCGATCCTGCAATCGTCGTCGTGGTTATGCCTGACCAGTACGTTCTGACTCCCCCCACGGTCGGTACTTTCAGCACTCGTGGCCAAAGGGGCTGCGTGCTTCCAGTGCGTGCCGCGGGGGGCAGATTCCGATCCAGCTGCGTGACGACGATCTGTACGGTCTAACCCCTCACCGTGCTGGGGTGTAAAGTGGCCTAACCCCTCGCCACGCTGGGATACGCCTCGGTTTGACTCCTCCCCGCGCAGGGGCGCTTCGCTGAAGAAGTGGTCGATGTCCCTCTGCACCTCGGGGTCGTCGTAATCCTCCACCTCCTGTGACCTCGGCTCAGGCAGGGGCTCGCACTCGCAATCTGTTGGATGCACCGCTGCTGGTCGACTACTTGCCACTGTAGTCTTTCTCGTGATCCGTCTCGGTCGGGGTATAGGGTGCGGTGCTGGAGGGGGCGCATTCCCAACCAAAGGGCCGCTGTACTCGTGCGGCACTAGCCGCTCTTGGTCAAGCAGCTCACGCACCTGCCTAGCAATTTGTGCCTCTTGTGCAGCTCGCGGTGGTTCTTTCCTGTATCCAGGGTAGCGTCCGTCCCGAATCTTGTTGAGCGCATCCTGCCCGTACTTGGTGATCGTCTCGCTTCACTGCTCGCGTAGCCTTTTCCCGATGGTCGTTCCATGTGCTGCGCACCGCGCGCAGAATAGCAGTCCGTACCGCACCCATTCGTTGACCACGTGGCTGCCATGTATCTTGCCATTGCCCATGAACCTGTCGCCCTTTACCTCGACTATCTCGTTGGCCGTGCTGTATGTAGCGTTGCATGCCGTGCTGGCAAACTCCTGCAGGGCGTCCGCTGCGATGTACTGCCTGCAGGCTGTGCAAAACCACTTATTCTTGAGCCTGACCATATCGTGCTGCTTCATCTTGTCGACGACTTCCTTTACTCGGTCCCTCTTGGCCTTGGCCTTGGCTGTGGTGGGCCTCTCAGCGCACCAAGGGTCAATGTTCGCCGTGTCCTCCAAGGCCTGCCTCGCTCGTAATCGTGCATGAGCACAGATCGCATCCCATTTGTCTGTACGTGGTATTGGCGTGGACACTCTCTCCCAAGAAGCTTCTGCCGCAACCGTAGCAAGTGCGTCTGCAAAACTGTTGCCCATCGCAAAAATCGGGTTGACTAGCTCGACCTCGTCCTCGTCCTGGTGCGACGGGGTCCACTCCACTTCGATGTGTCTGGGGGACGTGTCCATCACCGCCCTCTTGATGCGTGCCCATAAATCCGCGTTCTTCCCTCGCCCAGGGTCTTGAGCTCTGCCTTTTGTCCAAGCTGTGAGGAGCGGGTAGTGGTCCGTGACGTACACGATGTCTCCTCTCGTTTCCTCTATGGCAATCGCGAAGGCCGTGATCTCTGCCCGCGGTACGGTTTGACGCCGTCCTGGTAGGTCTGCCATCGTGCCTGCTGACATACTCCACTTGCCGTCGATCATCTTCATGGTCGCCACTCCGATGCCTACCCGTCTCCTGCGGGGGTCGCCCCCGTAGTAACCGCCTGAGCCATCACCAAATAGATAGAGGCTGCGTCCTGGCACTCGAGCTTCTTCGTGATCGCCGAACCTGACGTAGTCCTGCCTGTCGATGTCATTGACCTCTGGGTGAGTGAGCTCTCTGGGCGGTATACCTCGGAGCCATAGGGTCGGGTTTGCCTCGACGCCAGCGAGCGCCTTTGGCACCAAGTAGTCCGTCTTCTCATAGTTTTCGTGTCCTGTGTTGGCCGTACAGGTGTAGATGCGGTGGAAGATGGTCTCGGGCTCTTGCTTGCACCTCTCGCAGATGTTCGTGTCGCACTCGTAGCCAGCCTGAATCTGTCGTTGCCGAGTCCATTGCCCACCCGTAACCACCACGTTATTGAGTGCCCAATCTTGCCATTCCGCCCGCTGGCTGTATCTTTGTTGCTCCTTACTTATGTGCCATATGTCTCCTCCTCGCTGCAAATCGTCCCCGTGCAAATGCGTAGCTGCTTGTGCCCACCTCGCCATTTCCAGGTCGTGCTCCAGATCCTCCAGCAGCTGTGTGTACTCAATAGCATCAATGTCGCACTTGCCATCGTCGTCTATGAAGGGGAGCTGCCATTGCTCGTCACCTTGTGGTGTCGGTCGCTTCCATAGTGCCGCCTGAATCGGCTTCCACCCCGCCGCCATTAGAGTAGCCTGCACCGCTGCCACTGGGCCGTGTACCTTGCGCCACAGCTGCGTGCCTGCCCTGATCAGCTTACGGTAGGTCGGTCCCCATGCTTGTCGTACTCGTCGATGAATTTCTGGGTGAAGAAGCCATTGATGTAGCCATTCGCTGACAAGTTGCCGTCGCAGGCTGATGCCTGGGTCCTTCAAGTGATACAGCACAGCCATGCCAGTGGATAAGCACCTTCCTGGTCCTGTGCCAGCCGCCGACTTCATGGCCATACGTCGTAACTGTAATATCCGGCTGGGTGCGATACCCCAGACCTCGTGCCCATAAGTCTCCTGGGGTGAGACGCCTGTGGTGAAGAGGCCCTTGGTAATCCTTGCCACACGCGTCGCCATCCTTCGCAACCTGAAAATCTTGCCCGCTCGCTGCTTGGCCTTTCGCTGGCGTGCCCGCGCCTTCTTCTGTGTGCGCTTGCCCATGCCACTGACGTCGGTGCCCAAGTCCACCATGTCACTTTGTTGCTTACCAGGGAGTCCTCGCCGTTGTAGTCTGCGCCATATTCGTCTTCGGAGCTTGGGATTGGATGCAACGAGCACCGTCTTGGGCGAGATGATGAGGCTGCGCTTCTCAGCCTGGATGATGAA